GGACTCAATGACATACTGCGTGATTAATTTATTTAATTATTATGTTATTTTTAATTAATCTGTACTATACAAAGAGTAATAAAGAAATACTTACTGATTAAATAAAACATAAAATAATGTTTAAAACTCAGAAACAGAGTTCAATTAAGTCAATTAGCAGTGTGTAAAATGGAACGTCCTAGAAAAAGGGTAGTTGAGACACGTTCAAAATATGATGGTATTACCCTTGACCACAGAATAAATAATAGTACTACATACAGAAGTTGCATTCTTTTGATGTTGACTGCTTGCCGATGTTTTAATAGCCTACATAGTTATTATTAATCAGATAAATCGCGCATGCAAGCTAAATTAAATTTTATCGCTGCGCACGAGTGTTCGTATTACTTTGCATCTTTTGTCCTTACTATGTCACAACGGACTTTCCGTGGTTGCTAAGGGCTGTTAATAAAGAGTAAAAAAATACATTGTGAAATGGTAAGTTACTTAGGTAAAGTACCTATGCTGACTATAATCGACCATATTATCTACTATGTGAGTTCTGTGATGCCCAACGCATGCAACTTGCAAGGCCATTCGTCGGGAATCGCGATGCTTGGTTCGTATAGGTAGATAGCGTAAACAATAAATAAACCCAAAATACGATTCCTAACAGAAATATGATCATAATCTACTTAGTTGAAAATCTTGTACACAAAGTTTTAATTTCAGTATTTTGTGCTATTATAACATAAAATATTTTAATTACAAAGACGAGTATAGGTATGTAAGTAGGTACTTGGGTAGTGAAGTAAATTTCAACAAAGTTTTGTAATAAAATACTTAGGTATTACTTCTGTAGTTAAATTATTACTTAATTATTTTTTCGCTATAAGTACCTATCTAACAAAAAAAATTAAATAAATTTACCTTTCATTATCCTTCGGTAACTCAAAAAATGATATATCTGAATCCGTTCAATTGCTCATTAAGCATCCATCCCCGCAAAAATTATAGGAGGAATGACGTTTTACCATTATAGTTTATCAAATAGATAGGTAATATACATATATTATATTATTCTTAAATTACATTAAAACTTTTTCAACTATTTTATCCTACAATTAAATATACTAAACACTAAAGAAAAACTATTTCGACAAGTATTTCAACAAGTATTTACAAAAAATTATTTACGTAAACCGCGTTAAAATAACTTTAACATTCAATCGCCTAGAGCGCGCTAGCCCCGACTGCAATCTACCCCTGGGGCAGCTCGCGATTGTAGGCAATTATTTCACGCAGGTAGCAAGAGTGACAGAGGCCTGCTTTGACGTAGAATAAGCTTAAATAAATATTAAAAAATATTTTTCTCCTGAGTTTCTTTTAACAATGTGATAAGCGTATTTAATTTACAATTCAATTAGCTGAATTTTAAGATTTATTTCATTTCTATACATAGTCAGGTGAAAAATGGGCATCTTTCTTTGAACATTAAGCACTTCACTAACATTATCTACTCAAATATTTTATTTGTATTAGTATATTTATCATTTTTAATGAAAGTAAAAGCTTTAAAAAGCTTTACATATGTACTGGAACAGTCCTGAAGTGTATGATTGAAAACACCCTTGTGTGTTTATATTTTGCAGCTAGCTTGTACCTCTGTCCGTTGGTGTACATAAAACAATGTTATTTATTTAGATAGAATTATTAACTGTATATAACTATAACACGTATCGATATTTTGATTATAGATTACACGAGTCACCTTTAACAGAAATACTCCGACGATTAGATATTGACATAACCTTAGTTTATACAAATAGAATTTCTTACAACTAATACAAAACTCACTTGACCAGCAATTTATTACAACTGCGACGTACTGTGAACAAATAGAATACAAATAAAGGCACTAACCTACCATATACATAATTAAAAATTCTAAATTAGATGAATATAATAAATTACAGACTTACCTCGAAAAGCTTCAAAAGTATGTTCACATATAATCTCCGAACGCCTAGAGATTTTCCAATTGATGCTAAGAATATAATATACAATATTAAAAGCAAAAACGGCGTGTAAAGTATAGAAACCGCAACAGACACAAACGGCATAAGCAACGCCATCTTGCCGACTGACCACAAACTATATAGAAACACTACGCGTTCGACTGACATAGACTAATATATAATACTGAGGGCCTAGACAAGTGGCATTCGCTCCGTGTCTAATCCATTTCGAAAATCGATTTCGTCTTAGCGATATCGAACGACAAGTGGTAGACAAAGTGACATCGGCAAACCTAACGCTAAGTCGAAACGTTCTTTCGATAAAAAACAACTTCTTGACTATGGTGTCGAAATGAAACGTCAAATTCAAGGCGCGCTAAATATAAACAAACAAACCACTTCTTATTAGGTTGTGAAACAAAGTGTACTTGTTAACGTTATATTAAAGTTTGCTCGGTGAAAGTGAAGTTATTGGAGTTTTGAATTAACTAGTTAAGTAAAGAATTATATAATTATAAGAAAGGTAAGTTTCTTAACTTCGTAAAATTATTGTGAGTGCCAAAATTACACTAGTTTACTGGATATCAATGATTGTGAGTATATTACATATTTATAACGATAAACAAGCGGGAACTGACAAGCTTTTTTCCGTTTTTAAGGATAATTACAATGGATCCACGAGTGCGAGCCAGTGGTCAACAATTTTCGACCCTTTTGGAGTTCATGGAAAGGTTAAGAAGTATTCATCTAAACCATGAACTTAATTAAATTCAAATGACTGAGTATGCTCAATGTAAACAATGACGTGATGTTAACAATCCGTTGCTTATTGCCCTATTGTTTGTTCAATTGCAGTCACGGCGATCTATCCAATCCCCGATGTGGGCCTCAAGGGCGCTTGAAATCCGAGCGGCTGTGGTGTGAGTTGGCAGTAACATTAAACTCCATCGGTGGTGGAGTAAATAAATCGGCAGACAAATGGAAAAAGGTAACAAATTCAACAGCTATATATGGTAATAATCACTTTATGCTTTACTTTATTTATATTAACCATTTACTATTAATATACACTATTATTACTTATTACCTAACTTTCCTACATATTGCTTAATTAATTTCGAAGGTATGGGCCGACTGGAAGTCGAAAACAAAAAAAAAAGCATCACTAATAAGGCGTCATGCAAGTGGTACTGGTGGTGGGCCGAGTATTCGCCAAACCCTCACAGCTTTTGAGGAGAGGGTGTTGGCCATCATGGGGAATTTGACTGTGGATGGTCTGCCAAGCATTCAGGAACAAGGCTTTGTAAGTATCGCACTTCTTCATTTAAAATTCAGGGTTAACTGATCACTTGAATATTTAAAACATGTATTTTATTAATAAAATAACATATAATTAATTAAAATAGTCAAATGGAAAATTAATCAAATGCCTAGTTTAATGAAATGAGTAATGTCACAAGAGGTTTTATATGATATGTTATGGTTAGGTATTAGTTAAATTAAGATTTCAAGTCATTTTTTTGCAGGGACTATCACAAGTCATCTCCTCGCCAACTCTGGCCCTGAGTCCACCACCAGCCACGCACCAACAAGACACAATTGATTGTGAAATCACAACAGCCAATCGTATGTATAGCTACATACTACTAAATATTTTAATATTTTATAAATACTTTATTAAGTAGGTATTTGAATTCAAGTTCATTTTGTTTACAGAGTCTGTGGCAATATCACCACCTGCGCCCACTACTCCTACACCATCTTGCAGCTGGCAGCCACCGCACACCCTCACACAGGAGACCTCAACATCGCAATCCATGAGGAGTTCAAGAGTGCAACCTGCACCTTCTACCCCTCCGCCGACCTGCAGGCGACGATTCCCACCAACCCCGAGGTCTGGGATAACTGCTTCCCCCACACAAACGTCTCTAAGGGCTCGCCGGAGGCGTACACTCACACCATTCGACAGAGCAACGAGTGAGTTCCTTGCCATCGAACAGTTACGTCTTCGGCAGGAGGAGAGAAGAGACAGGCAGCTGTATGAGCTGGAAACCCGAAGGATAGAGGTTGACCACGAGCGTAATCAAGTGTTACGCATGTTTGCAGACATTGTGCAAGCGTGGTTTGACCACTATCGGAGTAGGGACAATACGGAGCAATAAGAGATACACCAAGCTAATATGGAGGAATTTCTAATGGAAAAACCCAATAACACTGCCCAACCCGGGGATCAAATCCGAGACCTCACGGTTAGATATCCGCTACTATTGAAATTCGTCCATAAAAACTAGTTTAAGATAATGTTAGAAATACTTTAATTTCAACAGCTTTAAAGACTTTTAAATTTAGTACTAATAAGATTTATTTTTAGTACTGATACTACTTTTAGTTTATTCAAAGTTTAATATTGTTATTTAATAAGTAGATAGTTCAGTGTATGTACCTAGATAGTTCTTATTCAAGTAGTTGTAATAAAATAAAAGAGTTGGTTATGTATATTTTCTATTTCCCGTGTTGGTTTCATTTTCTTTTATTTAATCTGGTGTTAATTTATTTTGTAATGGTTGTTTTTATGCATATTTTTATTGTTTTATTTTGTCTTTAATGTTTTTAGTCATTTTTTTTTTGTATTTGAAATTTATTATCACATTTAATTACCTTGTACGTAATTTAGTTTTTAAGTACAGTCTGGTAAGAGCTGAAAAACAGCTCTGTACCAGATCTGTATCTCGTTACAGACAAAGCTGAGCTGTCTCCTTTTGTCTCCAATAATTATAATATTCTTTTGTTTTAACCTTATGTAACTGTGTTTTTAGAGGCAATAAACAATTATTATTATTATAACACTTGTTTTGACCATTTTTTATTTTAATAACATCCAGAATGGGGTACTAAGATGATGGCTGAAAGAGTATGAAAGGAAAGTACCACATACGCTGCTGACCTCAATTAAGTTAGGACTAGCACAGGTGAATGGTGAAACACAATAAAAAAAATCAAAATGTCATCTCTATAATTATGTAGACTATTTTATTAATCAATGTTTTATAAACAATCTCACCAAAAACATAACAAAAAGTTGTGAGATCTAACATACAAACATTGCAAGGTAGTAAAAAACTTGTAAAATGAATAGTCACACCACATTACTCTACTTTTCCAACCAAGCAACAAATGAAACATTTAGTCAAATTTTATACATTACTATTTGTCTATACAACTAACAATACTTAATATTTAACAACTCTGTACAAATATTGGCACAGTTGAACAATTATATATATGCTAAAATGCTAAATAATTAATAAATATAGATACTTAACTACATCTACAATCTACTTATTAAATAATTGAGCATTGCCCTGCCTCGGATTAATTCATTTCGATTCTCCGTGGTGGTGCTTTGGGTGGTTTGTGTACTGGAGTCATCATTATCATCTACAGTAGTAACAGGGATATCACTTGGAGCAGGCAAGTGTGCATGAAGCGAGATGTTGTGTAGCACACAACATGCAAGTGTTATTTTGCTGGCAACGTTGGGATGATAATGAAGGACCCTGTCACGAAGCAAACACCTCCAACGTGTTTTAAGTAATCCGAAGCAGCGCTCAATACATGTCCTGGCTTGTACATGACGAGTGGTGTACAATTCCTCTCGAGACCCATGTGGAGCATTTAATATTGGAGTCATAAGCCAAGGGCGTTGTGGATAACCAGAATCCCCTGAAAGCAAGAAGTTATGAATGAGAAAAGATTTAAAGCATACTTACCTATGTTATACTACTTCTATATATTTAATGGTATATATATATGTCTCTTATAAATATCTTACTCTTATAATATCTTACTTACCAAGTAACCAAACATGTTCACCACTTTCATGAAGGTGACGCATATAGGGTTCTACGAGACTCGATGACCATATGTGGGAATCATGTGTTGCTCCACCAAACTTAGCATTTATGTTCATTATTTTTAAATTATGATCACATACCTGAAAATGTAATTTTATGTAGTATCAAATAAAATTGGTAGTTATGAAAGCAGAAATAATATTTCTAGATTTAAATACAAACCATTTGAACGTTTAAGGAATGATATCCTTTTCTGTTATAGAAAGCATGCTCTTCTTCAGATGGTTTTACTATAGCAATGTGGGTGCAGTCGATGCATCCTATCACTCCTGGCAAATTATACTTCCTTTGAAATCTGAAAATGAAGATTTTTGTAATATAATATGGCAGAGAAGTAACAACCTATTCATGTTACTTAAATTTAATAATTACTGTAGTTAAGATATACTTAATATACTTTATTTTTTTAGCTAACCATAACCTAGAAACATAAGCATGATTACTTACTCTTCTTTGATTAATGATCTTTCTTGTACTGTTTGTGGAAATTGAATCCACTTGCTCATGAGTGTGGGGTGGTTGAGCGCATCAACGACTTGCCGGACACACCGGCTCGTTGTTCTTTGTGTTAAATTTTGACTAACACCCACGATCCTTTGATAGGAACCAGTAGCTAAAAAATTAAGAGCAGTGAGCACCTAAAAACATAAAGTAATGAGGTAAAGAAAATGTTGAAATCAAACGTAGTAGCATCAAAACTATTGTTTATTTATTTAAGTATTTGTAAACGTTTAGTAAGGTTACCTTAATTTTCAAAGGGATTTCTTTAGATCCTCTTAGCGACGTATGAACACGCAAATCGTTGCAAAGCCGCCGAAAGGTGCTCTTATTTAAACGAAAATGTTCAACAAACAGTAACTCAGGCATATCTTCCACACTTTCCATTGTTTGCCGGTAATTGTATCTTTTTTGACGCCTCAACCACACACTTTCATTATGTGCAGCCCTTAGTAAACGCAACGTATGCATTTTTATCAAAAAACCACGAAATATAAGAAACAAGCAATAATTGATGCAAACAACACCAACAGCTGACTAACAATCAGCCATGTTATTTTGCTTTTCTAAAGGGTTCAAGTGTTCGCCAAGTTGTCGAATGAACGTTTCGACATCTAGCGATTTAGAATGTCAAAAGTGCCACTTGTCTACGCATTCCTAAGATAATATCGTTCGTGTTGTTCGTTTTCTTTATCGCTTCGATAGGCAGTTTGACATTGTCTAGCAATTAGCGATCGAAAACGGTCGATCACGTGATCTTTCGAAAGCATATGTCAATTCCATACATTTTGGAGTTCTCTAACTTCGTTATCGTTACTGAAAATGTGACTTTGTCTAGGCCCTCTGGAGACCACTGCGCTAGCACTTCTTACTAGTTTGTGCTGGAGACCGACTGACTGATTGTGTCTGACCAATATATATAAAGGTACTGTGTGTCTGACTCTGATTGATACTATCAATCAGTTAGGCCTAGGTTTAATTTTCTATCAATTTGATAGAAATTTTTTGAATTATAGCTTTTGATTAGATACCGTTATAAGATACAACTATATTTCGTTATTAAAAACAACAGTAACGACCCTAAACAAGCATGGTGCCTAAAATATGGAATTCATAGGCATATAACCTGTCGGAAATATCTGCGAACCTCGCTGGAATGCGCTTCCCCTCGCGCTTCCCCGCACCTCCGTCCGTTATCGTCTATCCAGTACCGTTGCCATCTCTCCATATTGCATGACGTCATCAAGCCAGGTTCGCAGATATTTCCGCCCGTTATCGTCTAGCCAGTACCGTTGCTATCTCTCCATATTGCATGACGTCATCAAGCCAGGTTCGCAGATATTTCCGACAGGTTATAGGTATCAAGCCTGCTTAGCTATATTGAATTGAGAAACAAGATAATTATTGAAGATTTAACAAAAATAATGCTTCATATGGGCACTGAATTTATTATTTCAATAATGTGTTCATAAAAATAAAATATTGAATTATTGAATGTAATATTTTTCGAAATCATTTTATTGTTAAACACAGAACACTAATAATAATAATAATGTTGTTAAATCATAGACATAGTATCTTATAGACTAAACATTCAGTGACGTCATCTGCGTGTGAAAGGAATGCACGTTATAGTTAGACATAAGAGTAAGGGAGAAGCAAAACAATATTTCTTGTCTTTTTCTAAGTATACGTTTTTGATTGTATTCCCTCCTTTATTTGACATTAACGATGTCAAGCGTTTGTGATTATCATTAATATTATAAGCAAACAGGTAATTGAATTCAGTGTTTTTCGTGGGTTTTAGTTATTAAGTAAGGTGAAAAAGATGGTAAGTTGTAGCATTTTAGGATGCAATAGCATCAGTCAACGAAAAATTGATGATATTACCTTTCATCGGTAAGTTTGTTTTGTGTGCTTACATTTGCTATTTGTACTGATTAATATCTGTTGTTTTGAATATAAAATGTAACATTTCATGTTTTTAATGAACTTTGTGATGTATTTTGTCAAATATTTCGACTCCTAAATTGTAAATTCTTCATGATAATGCTCCTTAATTTGAATGATCATTGCAAAGCTTAAAGTCATAACAAACGTGTACTTTTTGACTTGGTAGGATTATGGAAACTTTAGGGATATCATCGAGTACAATAATGTTTTCCCATTGTTCAATAATAAGTATTATTGTGATTAGTAGTTATGTACATAAATATGAATCACATAATGTTATACATATGCATACACTTTTATGTTCAGCTTTAAAGGAAACTCTCCTTATTGGGCAATAATATACAACTCTTCAATCATTTTCTATATTAATAGATGTCACAAATAATATGTAATTATCAACCTGAAAACATGTTTAGGTTCAAGTACATAAGTATTGGACAAAGTATATTTAATTTCACAAAATATGTATTGCCTGAAATCACATGCACAAAACTTTATTGTATTCCATTAATTCTATCACACATTAGCAACAATTACATTACAATAGTTATTAAAAAATAACTAAATATGTGATACTTATATAAATATAGATAAAATAATAAATAAATAAATAAGTCTTAAGGCTTAGCTTTCCATTGACGTCAGTGGAGTTTGGTGTTGATACGTGTTTTTACAGAAAGATTACACTATTATAAGCACACACACAAAGTCTCAATATACGGAAACGCGTAATTTTTGAGAAAAGAATAATTGAAAATCAATTATTCTTGCAATGTTTATGTCTAATCTGCTAATAAACTGGCGCCATTTTGTAATGTCATTGTCGACGTCAATAGGGATGTCGATTCTTTCCGAAAAAGGTCGATTTTTAAATCGATTCAAATCGTAAGCTGATGTATCGGTTTACAAAAAATCGAAATCTAAAATATCTATATTTTTTTAATGTTTCTATTTATAATGTAAATATAAATCCATTTTATGAAAAACAAGAAAGATACCATGATAAATGATCTCTTATTGAAATTTGTTTTATTTAACAGTACCTATTAGGGCAGATAACAAATAAAATAGGTTAGGTTCAACTTATGTCAAAGAACCGAATTGATTGACCCCGACTCCACCTGGTACGAGTCTGTCCTACCCCTAGAGTGGTTTTATAGAGCCGGAGGCGCGTAGGGGGAGCAGCCTCCGCCTGCTGTAACAAATCCGCCGGAGACGTAGCAGTCTCAAAATAGATACAGAAATCCTTATGAATCAGTCCCCTCATTTTTTTATGATGAAGGGGATTTTTTTCTCTTAAAGTGGATTTATATTTACATTATAAATGCAAACATGAAAAAAATATCGATATTTTAGAAATCGATTTTTCGGGAATCGATACATCAGCTTACGATTTGAATCGATTTAAAAATCGACCTTTTTCTGAAAGAATCGACATCCCTATTGACGTCGACAATGACATTACAAAATGGCGCCAGTTTATTAGCAGATTAGACATAAACATTGCAAGGATAATTGATTTTCAATTATTCTTTTCTCAAAAATTACGCGTTTCCGTATATTGAGACTTTGTGTGAGTGCTTATAATAGTGTAATCTTTTTGTAAAAATACGTATCAACACCAAACTCCACTGACGTCAATGGAAAGTCGTGCCAGTGTACTATATATTTAATATATTAATTTCTTTTAAATATATTATTTTACAGCTTTCCTAAAGAAACAGCTATCCGTAATTGCTGGATAATCGCTACTGTTGATGATTATAGATAACCAACAAAACTTAGCAGTGTATGCTCAAAACATTTTGAGCCTCATTGTTTTAGGCGGACTAAATATGCTTAATTTATGTAATTTATAATATAATTAAGATAAAATATTTAAAATGTTATAATTTATTGTTGTGTCTTGTTGTTTCCCCATAAGTGATATAAGTTTGACCTTGTTGGTAATTATGATTTTTGACATTGTTTTGTATGTATTAAAAATTGAATAGCATTGCTTAATTTATTTATGGTTCTTGACTTTTTATTTTCAATCATTCATCATTATGTATTATTATGACTTGTAATAATTTTATTGTAATTTATATTAATTTTCTTTGTGTAATTTGATTGCATGACAATGACAAAATATTTAATTATAGATAGATTGATTAAACATAAATTCTCATTTACAAATGTAGGAACTTTATCTGTACTACCATGTTTTATGCAAGTAAAGATTTAAATAAAATAATAAATAAATAATTTTAAGTCCTGACTTAAATATACAAATGAATAATTTATTATGCAATAATAATTGTAAAACTGACTGGAAATGCCTACCAATGAGATATTTAGTCCCCCCTTAATCCTTTTTATAAAGGTGTTATAAACAATAATGTGGAAATAAATTAAGAAATAAATAATTTATTAATAATAATTTCCATTTAATTGACATAAATAATGTAATAAAGATGTTTTTGACAAGAGATACGTATTACCTATCTAAGTATAGTTTAGGAGTTGTACCTTATTATTTTTATACCACTAAAATATATTATATACAAGGCATATAATATATATATATATACTGCCTGCTAATCAGATTTTAACAACCAGCACCCAAGAGTTTCTGCCATGCAAAATTATAAATCAAGTTTATAAATGCATATTTTTGAAAAATTCTAAAGCTACTCATACCAAGAATTACAACGAATGATCTAGAAAGAAGACAAAAATTTTGTTGTTTATTAATGTGATGAAAAATTAATAAATAATTGTTTATTTATTTTAATTTTATTGGATTATATTTAATAATATAATTGTGTTTTCATTTGTTTTACTTAATGTAACATTGTTAATATTTCTAAATTTTGAGTAAGTACACAAAATTTAGTCCTTTTTCCTTTACAGTCTATCTAAAGTCCACTGCTGAATATAAACATGAATATAGTTATTTGCCGTAGTTGCAACGCTTGGCAAGTGGGTTGGCAACCACTGCTTTTTTATATTTAGCTGTTCATCAGGAAAATGCTGCTGTTAATCTTCTTAGTTTTATTCTTGTGTTTATTTTAAGTTTTCATCAGGAAAGTGCTGCTGCCCCATCCCCATCTTGTATTATTGCTTACGACGCGGGGTAGTATCATCCCGTGTATAGACAAATTCTCTTGTATGCCACAACTTGCTGCACACCAGGGCCGGTCAACTTCCTAATAGCAGATTGGCACCGGGAGATGACCTTGGGGGGCTTTAAAGAAGCGAGATGGAATAATGTCTATCTCCCTCGCACGTTATGTTATATTGCCATGAAAGAAATATTATTTTAAATGACACATCATTTTAATCATTTTTTTATTTAATAATTATAATACTGTATTATATAATATATTTCGTTAAACATATATTTATTACGTCTTTATTGAAGTAACAAAATGTATAAATATGAAACTGCATACTATAATAAAAAGGCAAGTTATGGCTACGGCAAATAAACAAAATTACAAATGGCAGATCCGTTGCGCTTGCTGTTGCGTTCTTGTTTATTTGTGTTGCAAATTAAGTTTATATTTCGATATAAACTTATTTCTTACATTACTAACGTTGAGTTGAAC